AAATGATTTTTATTAAGTGTTTTCAAACAATAACAAAAATATTTTACACATTATGAAAAAGATTCCGTGTCACTTCTCATCCAAACGACATGAAAATAAAAATAATTTTGCATCAAGTAACAACAACAAAAAACATCAAGATAAAACCGAGCGTGAAAAGAATCTGACAAGGTTGAATTTCTGAGCTTTTTTTAAACCTGACAATTTAAATCCTGTGAGTCCTGGACCTTCTACTTCTTGGCGTCAGTCCATGCAGTTAAACTTTATGTCTCCACCACCTCTGGCTCACGATCAGCGTCAGCACTGACCAGGTGATTCTTTTTGACGCCCGCTTTCCTCTGGCGCCACAGGAGAGCACCTCCAACCACCAGGATGAAGATGCAGATCACCAGCAGCAGTGAAACGACCACCAGCTCACTGTAGTAACTTTTCTCTGGGATGTTGAGTGTCTCCTTCAAGGACTGGTTGTTGTTCCTGAAGGTCAAGTTCAAACCATCATCCTGAAATTTGGGGTTGTTGGACATGTCATCATCTTCACGGTTGGTTGAGAATTCATCCCCTTCATCCTCTGCGTCTCCTGACGGTAGTAGTGTTGACGTCAGTTCTTCCTCAGGAACAATGTAATGTGAATCGTCTTCACTGTTGGACCTGGGGTCCTTGTCAGCGTTTGGGATCATTGAGCGTGGAGAAATCATTGGTTGGACAGTATAACTCACGACCACTTCCTTGTAACCGCCCTCCTCTGCCTCACAGCGGTACGTCCCAAAGGTGGCATCGGCAGCATGGAAGATGAGGCTGCCGTCGGCTGATTGGATGAAGAGTTTCTCTGGCAGGTGTTTGAACTGAGGGGACTTCCAGGTCAGAGCGGCCATGTTGGAAGGTTTGACACACTGGAGTCGAACCACTTCATTCAGACCAACACTGACCTCTGCTGGACAGAAATCATAACAAGTAAGATACATGAGGGAGAAAGAGATTTCCTGATGGTCTTTATATACAGTCACTTATCATCTTATATACAATCACTTATCATCTTTATATAAAGTCACTGGTGGTCTTTATATACAGTTGTTGATCATCTTTATATATAAAATTAAAACATTTACCTGTGTCCTCACTGTTAGTGATTTGTTGTAGACATGCTTTTTCTATATTTCCATTTTCCACATCCTGAACTCTGAGGAGGAAGACGATGGCCTGTCAGTCACTGTACAAGGCAAATTATTCTTAAATAAACTGAAACCTGTTGTAGATCTCTGGATTTGTTTACGATAATTCTATAGATTCTAAATACAAGTTTTGTTCAAGGTGTTTTCATCTGTCAGACAATGATGAATCCTTCACCCACATGTGATCACGATCGTTGTTCAGATTTGTGCACTCCCTCCTGGTCGGACTCCACCCACACAGAGGATCTCTGGCCAGAACACACTGACCGCAGCTTCTGTAAACGGAGCAGTTCGCCACAGGGACGGAGGTGACACCCTCAGACGTTCCCACGTATACTGCCCCCTACAGGAGAAGAAAATACTGTGATATGTACTCTGTAGTCTGAGTAAATGTTCAGGTTTCAGGTGACAGGTTTACCCTGGTGGTCGAGAGAACGATGCTCTTCACCAGCTGTGGCTGTGTGAAGACCTGAATCTCCTCAATGACCAGGGCACCCCAATCCAGAACAACAATCTTGTGCAGGAATCCAGACTCTGGACATAAGAGGAGACAAGACGTTTTAATTCAGAACAAAATGTTCTCATCATTGGGTTCGTTCATGCTTTTTAATGTCCTCACCTGTGAGCAGAAAAAGGACGGTGTACTGTTTGCCGTTTGCTGCTGTCGTCCTCATCGCCACCACACGACTGTACTGATGCTCAGAGGAAACAACCACTGGACCGTCTGCCACAGGTTTGACTCCACCACTGGTCAGAAAACTCCTCTTCACCTCCTCTAGCTCTGAATCGGTGGCTTTGTCCAGTCCACACTGTTGGGCAGCGTCGTACCATGACAACAGCATTTTTAACAGAACAAGCTCAAGTGAAAATGAGTGAGAACAACACCAGGCCCACATTCGAACCCAGAGAAAGTTCATTCCTGATGATTCATGAAAGAAGAGGCTGTGGTCATGTACATGTGTTTGAGGAAAGGACATGTCTCACCTCCCTGTTAGAGAACATGGAACTGTTCTATTAAAGATGATTATATTTATGTGGTTTAGATGTAAAACCTCCTAAAGCTGGTTGAGTCCACCAGAGGGCAGTAACACTGCAGCTCTGCATCGGTTTTTAAAGATAACTTGATTTAAACTTGATTTATACCTAATTTAACTTAAAAAGTATTCAAACCTGATTTTAACGGGATTTTAACCTGATTTAACCTGACGTTACTGTGCTGGTGCGACTCTCGGATATCTTTGGTGATTTGTCCTCACCTGTCCCAGGTACGAGTGTTTTCCCAGCAGTGAACTCCACTGGTGCATCTCCATGTCGAAGGTCCTATAGCTCCCAGAGAACACCGTCCTGATGTCCTGCAGCTTAAAGACGCAGACAGCAGACTGACGACCTGAGGACCTGAAGGAGGCCAGAGGGCAAACTTGGTTATCATCAGAGTGATATTAATATTCATTACATTGTTCAGAGTTCACAGGAATGTTTTCTTATTTGGATCAAACTTTCATCATGTCAGAAGAAGATGAGACTCCCTGTCGACATTTGGACAAAGCTGTTAGGACAAACTGAACTTCATTTACGCTCGACTCATATGGTTTATAAAAACATGGATGTAGAGTTTAGATTGGTTCTGAAAACCAGATGCAGCAGCTCTAATTGGCTACTGACACTGTTGTTTAAATTCAGAGCTGAAGGTTTGTCTTCAGATGCTCATTAATGACATGTTTTCATGTGTTTTTTACCACTGAGAGGTGAAGACGCCATAGAACAGGGTGTCAGAGGGATTGCTGCCCTCTGGTGGCTGCAGGGTGAACACGTCCTGGAGAATGTTGAAGGGAAGCTGTTTGTGAGATTGACAGAGAAGAGAAGCTTTGGCGAAGGACGTCCACTTCTTCTGCAGAGTCCTCTGTCCACCGACGTCATCCTGGAAACCATCAAAGAAAACACAACTTCAGAGAAGCTGCATCTGAGCAAAGTTAATTAACATGTAAATATAATACATATAATAATATATATAAAGTTGATCAGTGACCATATATAAAGACCATCAGTGACTGTATATAAAGATTCATGGTCACACTCTCTGTGTTTACCCTACAGACTTGTGCGACTCGTGGAATCTGCAGCTCATCAATGAAGCTGAACTCTTTCCCAACTTCACTGAAGAAGAAGTAGAGCTTCCTCTCCGCCGGGTCCGACGACGAGCCAACGAAAGTTGGCTCTAAAATACAGGAAATGATGACAGAGGAGGAAAGTCAGGGTAATGAGCACAGAAAGAGAAACATTTAGCTCTGATCAGTTCTTACATTTTTAAAATGTCCACCAGACATTTGTGTTGTGATGGAAATCAATGTTCTGAGTGAAGATATGTTCATGTGGCAATTACACATGTAAAAAACATGTCTGTATGTATGTAGGTATGTATGACCTTTAGCAGGAGATGGAAATGATTCCAATTTGGGCAAATTAATGATGAGTCAGCTGTGTGCACCAAAGTTAACCACAGTGTTCCTAAGGGTTCTGTGCTTGGCCCAATTTTATTCTCATTATATATGCTTCCATTAGGAAACATTATGAGGACACAGTATGAACATTTCCACTGCTATGTAGATGACACCCAGTTATATAAATAAAACCAGAACAGTGTAATCAATTAAGTAAACTTCATGTTTCAAAGACATAAAACCTGGATGAGCTGTAATTTACTCTTTTTTAACTCAGATAAAACAGAGGTTCTAAAATTCCTCACATCCAGTGAAACAGTTAGGAACTTGGGAGTGTTCTCTGATCCTGATTTGTCATTTGATTCGCACTGAAAACTAATTTCTAGGAACAAATTTCACCAACGTAATATCTCAAAATTTAGACATGTCCTGTTTCAAAAAGATGCAGAAAACTAGTCCAGGTCTTTGTCCCATCCAGACTTGATTATTGCAATTCCTTATTATCAGGCTCCAGCAGGGAGTCGTTACTCTGCAGCACGTGTCCTGAGAAGAACCAGGAACAGAGACCACATGTCTCCTGTATTAGCTTCACTACACTGGCTTCCTGTTACATTTAGAATTTAAAATCCTCCTCCTCACCTACATTAATAATAAGACACCATCAAACCTTAAAGAGCTCACAGTACCATATCACCACTAGAGCCCTGAGCTCCCAGAATTCAGTCTGTTGTCCCTCAAGTCTCTAAAAGTAGAGGAGGAGCCAGAGCGTTCAGCATCAAGCTCCTCTCCTGTGGAATCATCTCAGGTTCAGTTCTGGAGGCAGACTCCCTCAATACCTTTAAGATTCAAGCCTTCCTTTAAGATAAAGCTACAGTTAGAGCTGGTCCAGGTTTGTCTTACGGACCTGCTCTTAGTTCTGCTGCTGGAGGTCCAGAATGTCTAGGACACATGACACATGGAGCTTCTCCTTCCTCTTCTCCCTCAATATCACATCAAATAAACTAATGTCTCATCAATACATAACCTAACCTAACTAACTCTGACTTGACTTCTTGACCTCATCCGATCGTGATGGTGGATCCTGATCGTGGACAACAGTCCTGGCTCGGGTCCTAATGAGGGATGGACCTAGTGAGGTCGCCGTTCTGTCGCAGGGCTGACATGGAGGGTCACGCAACCACCAGCACTCTCACCTGAGGACCTCCCACCTTTGGAGCCATGGGTCCTACTACTGCGCATGTTGGACCATGAGGGAGGCCGGAGTGCCCGGGGGGACCACCGCACCCTTGGAAGACCATGCAAACATCCATGTGGAGATTCCCTGGCTGGTTTCAAGCCCTTGACCTGACACTGTGACTCAACCCCCTCCTTTATTTCCTTTTGTTCCCCTATATTACTTGTTCTTTCTCCATCACCCCAACCGGTCCTTGCAGAGGCCGTCCACACCGAGCCCGGTTCTGCCGGAGGTTTCTTCCATCGTGGAGTTTTTCCTCCCCGCTGTTGCTCATGCTTGCTCAGTGTGGAACAAGTAGGATTTTGTGTTTCTTAAGATCTTGGACTTGTGCAGCACCCTGAGACAAGTGTTTGTTGTGATACCGTGCTATATAAATACATTTGATTTGATTGATTGACAACAAGACTGCTTGATAAACAATATGTCTCCTCAGATACTCAACCATTACTGACATTAATTCCTCAGTTCATTCATCTTCCATCAAGCTTCAAACTGTTTACTCTAACCAGTGCTGTAATTACTCTTATTTTTCTGACATTCTCAGTTACACATGGCGTCTACTGCACTTGTGTCCGTCCTGGGAGACGGATCCTCACGTGTCTCTCTGAGGTTTCTACGTTCTTTTCCCTGTTAAAGGTTTTTTTAAATAAAGTTTTTCCTGACTCTTGTTGAGGGTGAAGAACAGATGATGTCACAGCTTGTTAAAGCCTATGAGACAAATTGTGATTTGTGAATATGGGATATACAAATAAAATTTGATTGATTGATTATTTATTTGGGAACTGAACATTATAACCTCCGTGGAGACAAGATGTGGTTCCACTCACCATCCAGTAAACTGACAGACGTGTCCTGATGGACATTAGGATGACTGCGTTTGCTGAAGTGTCGAGAAATCTGCGGTTTGACTCCTCTGAAGTCACTGGTTGTAGCGGTGAACAGCTCGCCATCTGCACACAGACAAACATAAAATCTGAGGAAACAAACGTGACGGTGGGTTCAGTAAAAAACAGTTTATTAGGAACACTTATAAACCTGCTTCTTGTCCGGTCAGCCAATCACGTTGCAGCAGCTTCAGACTCAGAGACTTTTTACTAAAAAATACAAACCATACAGTGGAGTCGCCCTCTGCTGGTCATTACACAGAATAAAGGTTTCAGACACTTCTGCATTGGCTTCACTTTCTGAGTCTACAAATATTTGAATTAACAGGCTAGCTACAGGCCAGTATCCGACCTCCAATTCATTAGTAAGACATTGGAAAAACCTGTTTTGGTGGAAATAAACAAATAAATAAAGAGAACAACATCCTGGGGGAGTTTCAGGCTTTAAACTTGTCACTGAAACTGCATTACTGCAATAATCACCTCAGACTAAACTATAATTAAAACAAGGTTTGGATTCTAATCCTCCTGGACCTGAGCTGTTGATACAATTTGACCACGACGTCCTTATCACTTGTCTTACGAAGTTGGTCTGTCTGCCAGAGTCCTGAACCTAATATACATTACAGGGAGGAAGTTCTATGTCAGCGTTGGAGATCACGTGTCTGACAAACACCTGTTTTAAAGTTCCACAGGGCAGCTGCCTTGAACCTTTATTATTCTCACTGTAAATGCTGCCAATTGGTGACATCAGAATGCACAATGTTTCCATAGTTACGCAAATGAAACACAACTGTACGTGGTTGCTGAGCCAAATGATGATAACGCTCTGCGCTCCATCACTAAATGTCTTTCAGCAATAAATACATGGATGAGCCTAAAATCAGAAAGAGAAGCACTATAAAATAATCTGGGTCAGATGAATCCTTGATTAAATCAGAGGAGAAGAGTTGTTATCTTAGACTTTGATCTGAGTTTCACACTAACAAGGAAACCACAACCTCATTTTTCACCTTAGAAACACAGCTAAGGTTCAACCATCTATAAATCAGAAGCTAATTTATGCATCAATTTCTATTGGACTGGATTAATGCACTTTTTACAGGAGCCCCATAGAAACCAATAGAGACTCATTCAGAACACATGAATTCCAGCTGCTCTGCTCTGGTTGTTCCACACAGGACTGACTTTAAGGTTCTCCTCCTCACACACAAGGTTCTGAATGGACCCAGTTACACAGCTGCCTCTCTAGTAACCTTTGTGTCCTCTAGAACCCTGAGAACATCTTAGAGGTTCCAGCACAAAAAAAATCTGCTGCTGCTAGATATTAAAGAAGCTAGTTCAGTGAATGTCTCTAAAAGATTTCATTTTACTTCGGATCTTATTCTTATTTATACTCCTCTTCTGAATTTTTATTTTATTTATTTCCTTTTCTTTTTGTTTTCATACTTTTTATTAAGTAATATATTTGGCACTGTTCTTCCCTTTAGTTGGGAGTCGATGTACCTGGGTGATATAGAACTCCACACCCGGATCGCAAACAACAAAAAATTACTCTACCCTCTACTGGTAGCTAGTAAAAAAGTAATAACAAAAAAATGGTTAAAGGCAGAGCCGCCCACTATTGGGGAATGGATAGATGTGGTCTATGAGATCTACATTATGGAAAAGTTGTCTCTCTCTCTCAAATTGCAAAAAGATAAGTTCTATTAGATCTGGTCAAAATGGACTGAGTATGTAAAAGCTGTACAATCTGACTTCATATGATTCGGTAATGATGTTTTGCCCCAGTGTCCTTCTTAGCCATTTGTTTTATTTAATTTATTTTAGTTTTATCTATGCGTCTCTAACTCATACATCTCTCTTTCACTCCTATTGTATGTGTCGCTGGGAAGATACCAGGTACCAAGCTCCCCAGTTCTGTTCTGTTCTGTTTTGTTTAAAAATGGAAAATGCTGGTTCTACGTCACTCCTAGCTCTACTTACATCTAAATTGCCCTTTTAATCATCCCGATACACATATAACCCAATTGTCGTCTCCACCCTTAAAATCTGGTTCCAATTTAGATGCTCTTTTGGACTTGAAGGATTGTCTAATCACAGCCCCATACATAACAATCATCTCTTCCTTCCTCCCAGCATTGATAATGCCTTTTCTCTATGGCGGAGTTCAGGCCTTGTCGGGCTAAGTGATCTCTATGTTAATAATGTCTTCCCAAGTCTCACCTATTTCGATACTTCCAGGTTCGTAACTTTGTTAAATCAAATAGCACCTGTTTCCCCAATATTCCACCTAACTCAGTAATTGACTCAATTTTGGACACTCCCACAAATCAGAAAGGCCTTATCTCAAAAATGTACACCTTAATATCCCATCTCAAGGAGACATCTCTTGATAAAATCAAGAAAGATTGGGAACAGGAACTTGGCAGGGTTATCGATGACGATGACTGGAACTCAGCATTAATTTGTGTAAATAATAGTACATCTTGCTCCAGGCTTAATCTGATACAATTTAAGGTTGTCYATCGTATCTATTTTACCAACTCTAAACTTTCTAAAATCTATCCCAACATCACGGACACATGCAATAGGTGTSACATGTCACCAGCAAACATGACCCACATGTTTTGGTCTTGCCCCTGTCTGCATGTTTACTGGACAGCTGTTTGTAAACATCTTGCAGAAGCACTAAATATGAAATTGATGCCTGGTCCAGAATKGGCTATTTTTGGAGTATTATCTGACTGTCAAACAATTAAGAAAAAGGTTAAGGATAGTATCGCCTTTGCCTCTTTATTAGCACGTAGAAGAATTTTGTTGGAATGGAAGTCACCAGTTGCCCCCAAAGCTYCACTGTGKCTTAAGGACCTCATGCTGTACTTAGACCTGGASAAAATTAAATACAGTCTGAGGGGGACACCTGGTAAATTTGATTCAGTTTGGGGCTGCATGATTAGTTACATAGCTAAATTAAGGACACTACAGGACAAATGAAATGTTCACCTCTGCCTCATCTCAATCCAGTGAAAATATTACTTCTCAGTTTTGTTTTGTTTTGTTTCGGTGTCTTTTTTATTTATGTATTTATTTATTTTCTATTCTCTTTTAATTATCTGTGTACTCTTWTATTCGCTTGTTTGTTTACGGTAAGAAGGAAGGATGTGTGTTATTACAGATCTGTAACAAATTTTGTAGGACTGGGAGGGGTTGGGGGTGGGAGGGAATAAGTGGTTGTTGTCTTTGAAAAAGAGAAAAGTCCTTATTTCTCATTGTATGTACTTTTKCCTGTCAAATGAATAAACACATTAAAAAAAAAAAAAAAAAAGGAAAATGCTGGATAAGGAATGTTGTAAGAAAATATGTGCAACTGCAACTGTAATGTAAAAAATGGAAATGTGATGCAGGGATTACAAAGCTGTTTGATTGAGAGGAAACATTTTGCTTTTTTCTGATTTCATTTTAAAGCCTGAGAGTTCCACAAATTGAGTTAAGGTGCTGAGAACGGAGGGGACATATTTCAAAGGGTCTGTAACAAAAAAGAGACTATTGTTGTGCATAAAGTTTGTCTGTGATTTTCATGTTTGAGAGTTTGTTCTCTTTAAACAGCTGTGATGATGTCACTGACTCACCGATGACGATGGCGGTGTTCCTCTGGAAGGGGCTGAATGGACAGCGACCTTTAACACTATCATATTGAACCATAGAGAAACTCGCAGCATCCTGAGGAAATGAAAAAAAATCAAAATTGAACTGGAGAGAAAACAAATCTCAGCTTGAATAAGTGAAACTTTGTGTTTGGACTCACGATGAAGGCATCACGAGGGTTGAAGGCGAAGCTGCCACAGGTGTAAAGGTGGGTGGAGTTTATCAGCTGCAGCACACGGACAAAGTTCGGACAGTCGACCTGCAGACAGAGAGAGACAGACAGTGAGACAGACGGATGGATGGACAGTGAGACAGACAGACAGACAGACAGATGGACATCGGTGTATGCTATGTTGAGGCTGCTTAGCTTAGCAGAGCTGACACAACAGACTGTATGTTGATAATTACCTCTGGATTCTTCCCTTTAACTTGACACTCCCTAATGTCATCCTCAGACGGACGCCATGACACCTGGACAGACACAGTTTCCGTTCAAAGTTTAAAATTTAGATCTGTCGAACATTGTTTTCAAAAACTGAATCTGAGCCTCGTTTCTTCTGCTGCAACAGGTTAATCACCTGACTCTGACTTACCTTCCTCTTCAGGCTGATGACATCACTATGACTGATGTCCAACGAGAGGACAGCATCTCGCGCCCCGACATACAGGGTGGACCCATCGTCGCTCAGCAACAGTGTGGTGGTGTTGTGTACATCACAGAGGCTGAAGTGGATGAGAGGTCGTTCTGTGGAGTCTGAGCAACAACAAACAGATGAGTTTATACTAAGCCTGAATCACATAAAGGTTCATAAAGGTGAAGCCAAAGTGTCTCAATCTCCCCCTGGTGTCTGGCTGCAGTATAAGTCATAAACCTCCAGCATGTTAGCAGATGGGACATGAACCAAACTAAAAATCAAAGTAGACGTTAAATAAATGTTTGTGAAGATGTTTCTGTCGTTTCAGCTCGTCCTTCTCTCTCTGATGTTTGTTCCAGTGTTTCTGATCAGTTTGGTTTAAATCACTTATTTGATGATATAAAAACAGGCTGAGACGTCATGATTGACAGCTGATACTGACTAGTGATTGGTAAATAGTACGTATGGGCAGGACCTTGATGCCAAGGCTCCACTCCACAATCAGTACTGCACCGACAATCATTGATCTGAATCAAGATTCAGCTGATCAGACGTTACACAGTTCATGATCTGGAATGAATCCACATTTAGAAACGTGTTAAAGCAGGAGCACAGAAAGACATTCATAAATGACAATAAGACGTTCTGTTCCGTCACGATTTCTGTGCAACGAAATGAGCCGACAGTTACACAACATTCTTCTTCTTTGAGGTTTACTACATGTTGGTACATTATGGGTAAAGAGTGAACCATGTGAAAAGGAACTGGTTCTGAAATGGTTTCACTCTGACTACATCCTGGTGGAGAAGAGGAAACTGTTTCTTCAGTTTCTGTTCAGTTTCCTTCAAGAACCAACTTCATCGCTATTTTTCTTTTTAAACTCACCTGTTCAACTGTTTTTCTCTGAATTCAGTTGAGAGTTTTCATCCATCCCACCTTCACCAACATCTCTCAGACGTCAAAACCTCATTCAGACCTGAACCTTGTCCTCTGGAGGAGTAAATACCACAAAGTAAAAATACTTAGATACATTGATGCTTCAGCAGTATTTTACTGCTTTACTTGTTGGAGGATCACCTAATGAAGTCGACGTCACAGTCATAATCAGAGAAAACACTTTCTTTTTTTTTTCCAACATTTTAAATCTAAATAATATGAATTTAATATTGTTTAAGAAAACGTACTTTTTAATGTAGACTTCAACTGACCCGAACACTGAAGTGCAGTACTTAAATGTACTTCTTTACTTTCCACCACTGTGTTGTTCTACAGCAGGTCCAGGGTCAGTTCCCATTATGCACATGTTCTCAGCATGTGGTAAACCAGAGTTTTTTATATTGTTTGGTTTTTCTGTCTCATCAAACTTTACATCGATGAGGCTTTAACAGGAGGCGAGTGAGGAGAACAAAAACAGACGTGGTTTGTCAGCAGTCGACCGCGGCACAGAGAGAATCTCTTCCTGTTTCCGGGGTCGACGCTCAGGAGGACGAGGATGTGGCTCAGAGCTGAAGAAAGTTTGTGGCTCATCTGAGTTTAAAATAAGAGGCTGTGAAAAACACGACTGATTCTGTCTGAGAGATTTTCAACAACTGATGAAGAGAAATAAAAAATATTAACAAAAATAAAAACACTGTTATTTACAGATGTATACTGACACGTTTCAGTTTTAAAACTAACACAACCTCCCTTCATACAAATGTTTTAGGACTAATATCATAAATAATCTGCGTCCACACTAACAAACCTCAAAACACGTCACATGACCGTTCACCTACACTGATCATGTGGTGTAAACAGTAAGTAGATTGTATCATAGGGTATCATTTGAGTTTATGTTTTTGACACAAAACTGATGTTAACGGTTGAAATGTGTTTCACCAGGACAGGAGACTGTTGTCATTCCGTCATTAAGAACACAGCTGTGACACAAACTTGTTTCTCTTGATCCATCAGCTCATTAATAAAGAGAAAATTAATCAGCACATTATTTTATAATATATATAATAATATAACTGATCATACACTCACTTCTTGATGTCAGTATTTTGATTTGATTTAATTGTTTTTATTATATTAAACTATTTCATTTTTAAGATATTTTATAAATGAACAATAATTAAAACATAACCTGATTCAAAGTATTGACAATGTTGATAAACAGCGTTAAACAACATTAAATCAACAGGAACAAAAAAAGATCCGTTTAATTATAAACAATCACACAACCAGAACCAGACTGATGATCAGGACTGATTGATTATTGATTGGAAATGTTTTTGGACTCACTGAAGAGGAAGGAGATCCGAGGAGGAGGCAGAGAGCCGGTGGAGGTCAGCACGCCGAGGAGGAAGAGGAGGGTGGCTGATGGAGCCATGATAGAGGAGATGAAGTTGGAAGGATGATAATGATAAAGTGCAAAACTGTTTGTCCTCGTCTTGAGTCGACGGCAGGAAACTGACTCTGATACTGTCACCACAACTTCCTGTTACTGCGGGTGGGTGGGTGGGCCTTCTCTGAAACATCACTGTCTAATGAGTCACTGTTCAAGAAACCTAGTACAGACAACTGCACAATAACACTTCAATATAAGTAAATACTTAAATACTCGACGTGTGATGGTTGATCACAAAGAGTTTATGTCCTCCTCTTCATCCGACTCCTCCATGAACTCTCCTGGATAATATGGACCCCCCCTTTCTGTTTAATCTAAGATTTAACGGTAGCTTACAGTTACTGTTCTGCATCTTGGTTGTTTACATTTACTGTTGTAACTAATGACATAAAACATTTTGCTGGTAGTCGCAAATGTGACTGTCGTAATGATACTGACGACATGTAATGGTTCTCTTCTTTCCACAGACTGAGCTTTAAGGTGCCACAGTGATCTCCGTCAGAGATTTGGTTCTTGTGATTTTGTGCCCTACTGGTTCTGGGTCTGATGTTTGGCTGCAATCCAACTGTGTTTTGCTTGTGATGTGGCTTATGTTCTTTTGTGTATCTGTTATTAATGTGTCTTTTTGATTCAACCTTTTCTTATATATGGGGTCAAGTGTGTCCTTTAGCGTACACTTCAGCAATGACAGTGCTGATTATTATTTGATTACAAAATTGACAATACCAAAGGGATAAAAATTATACATATGAATATCAGGAGCCTGGTACCTAAAATTGATTTTCTTAGAACATGGGTTACTTTTCACAAACCAGGTATCATTACACTTGAAACTGGACTGAGTAGCAAAATTGCAGACACTCTTCCTAACTATGTGTTATATAGAGCTGACAGAGGTGTGGCTACATATGTTTCATCTAGCTTAGCCTCTGAATTAATTATACCTCTTGCAGAGCCGAAATACTTCCAGTGTCTTTCTGTTCAAGTAATTCTTCATGAGAATAAATATGTCACTATTAGAAATGTATATAGACCCCCAGCCGCACCTGCTGAGTCATCTCATTGCTTGAGTTCAACCATTAACTCCATTGATTGCAGCAATGAATTTATTATTTTAGGTGACTTTAACAGAAATTGGTTAGATAAAGATACAGAGATAAAACCTGAACCTAACTAATTACTAACCTAAGTAATTAATGAACCCACTAGTCACTCCTACCTCTCAGTCTTTACTTAACTGGATTCTTGTCTTACATTCAAATAGAAACACAAAAGTTGGTCTTTTTTCAGATTGTTTTAGTGATTGTTTCAGTAGAATCAAACAATATAAGAAAATAGATCAAGACACAATTATTTCTGATTTAATTTCTTATAGTTGGGATAGATTCTAATTATCAGCTGATGTTCAAAATGCTTGGGATTTCCTTTAGGATGAATTTAGAGTGGTGGACAAACACACAAAGTTAAAGGCAAACACTTGTGAACTCACATCTCTTTTTAGGCAGAGGGATAAAGCAACATTTCTTCAAAGGAGACATGCTGATTGGGAACCGTACAGACAAACAGAAACATCAGCAAAACTCAAGTTCGGAATGCCAATTCTAAGTACTACAAAGAATGTCTGAGTAATCATTTCAAGAATCCCAAACAATTCTGGAGTAAAATTAAAGACATTTTCCATACATCAGACGAACCCTTTGCCAGTAAAGTAAGAGTTGCTGGTACAATATTGAATGATCTCTCACCTATTGCATGTGCATCCAATCAGCATTGCTCCTCTGTCTGCTCTAATTTAATTCCAAACAGTACACACACAACTTCCAATGCCACTCCATCCAGGATGTTGGCACAGTGGAGGATTACAAGTACCTGAGTGTTCGACAACAGACTGAGGTGGAAAACCAACAAAGGGATGAGCAGACTGTTTCCAGAGGAAACTGAGCTCTGATATTGGAAATCACTCTGTTGTAGCCAGACTTTGCCGTGGTCCACTGGGGAAGGAGCATCGGAGCAGTTAACACTGTACAACTCCTCACCTCGTTCAAAAGGTGAAACTCTTGAGTTGTATAGTTTCTGTCCACATCACTGTGAATTTGCATATATATTAAATTCATATTTTAGTCATATTCCTACCACCACTTTTCTCTTGTTCATAGTTTGTCATCTCTTGAATCTCATGTTTATAGGCTTATTCTTTGTCCCATTCTATTGTAGTACTTTATTGTGTACTCTAGTACTTTATTGTTTATCATTTACTTCGGGAGTATGTATAGTTTTTAGTAGTTTTTTATGTTTATTGCATTCTATTTTGAGCTATTTAAAATCTTTGTATCCGTTTTATTGCTGCTGTAACACAATCATTTCCCAATTTGGGATCAATAAAGTACGTCTATGTGTCAGTTACCTGAAAAACAAGAAACCAGCAGAGATGATGTGGAAACAGTTTTTATTGAATTGGAACACCAGCTGATAAATCAATTGATCAATCTGAATGATTGAAGGATCGTTGGGTGAAAACATTCAGTCCGTCAGCTGTTTGATAAATTCTAAAATGTACATGTTGCTGTGTGTTTGACCACTGTACATTAAAAACACTGCACTGTTACTCACTAAAAGTAAAACCTGCTTGTCTCTTATGTTTAGTTAAAAACTGCAGACGTCCTATAAAAACACACGTGTCCTGTAATAAGTGATTTAGAGTCAGTGGGTCACACGACAGGAAATTTAAATTTAATACAATTCAGTTCTCTTCTCAACAGAAAGGTCCCTGAGGGAGGAATATCCAGTAAGAAACTTACTCCACTGACGTGAATTTTTAAAAAGGACTATGGGAGTAAATGTGAGTTAAGTCAAGTGAGTTTATATGTTTTATTTATTATTGTTGTTGCTTTTGGTAAAGTTGTTTTTCTGATTCTTGTCTCTTTGTAAACATGTTTTTGATAAATTAACTGAATAAAACCTGATGATCTCAGGTCGAGAACCTGGCGTTAAACTGGAGGTTAAGTCAAGTTAAACTCAAGTTAAACTCAAGTTAAACTCAAGCTTAGCTCAAGGTAAACTTAACTGAAGTTAAAACAAAGTTAAACTTAAGCTAAAGTGAACTTCAGTTAACTGAAGTTAACTGAAGTTAAACTAAAGTTAAACAGAAATAAGTTAAGCTTAAGTTTTGCGATCATTCTGCAGCTTTTTGATTTTCTTTTAAAATTCTTTTATTGTTCGAGTTTTTTCTTTTCATATCAAATGATTTGTGTATAAAACAAAATAAAGTGTAAATAAAAATATATTTCCATGAATATTGTGTTGACGGGATGTTTGACATGTAGCGAGTGACGCTGGAACATGAGTGTGCATGTAGACAAACTGATGAGTCATTGATTCTGACGGAAGCTACACTGAAAACTTTGTTTTATAGAAAATGATTTTGTGTTTGTTTCAAGTCACAAACAGTCTGAAGGAAGTAAAACTCATCACATCCTTTTTCAAAATAAAAGTTTTAAATCCACACTTCACTAATCCAGCTTGTCTTTGGCATGACGTCACGAACAGCTGATGCAACGTACGTCCTCTTGCACATAAGAAAAATAAAAACATGATCCAGCTCAGCCAATCACAGCAAGGGAACCCAGGTAGAACCAGTGACTTCGGTTAAAGCTTCAGTTCATTTTGTGCCAGATCACGTTCGGAAACGTTGTTCGGAGGTTTCTGTGTTCAAGAGTCAGAATCAAAGTTCAAAAGTCCAACTTTGATTCGGTTTCAGTAGAAAAAGTTTTAGAAGAAGACAAACAATGTTGTGTTTGTTACACCAACAAATACAATCTTTTTGTAAATCAACTAAAAACTTTTTTAGTTTAAAGAAAATATCTGTCATTTTCACAAGAACCTCCTGCAGAGGGCACTGCACCACAATTTGGGAACTACTCTGTAAATCAGTCTTTACTCACAGGTTTGATTCCTGGGTCCTCAAGCAAGGCACTCGACCCCCTGAGCCTCCAGGAGACACTGTTTTCTGATACCAGGACACTTCTGAGACATCCACTCTGGGTCAAAGGTAGCCAGATTGATTCCTAAGTGTCCACTGCTGAGGTGCTGTTGAGCAAGGCACTAACATGTACAGACAGTTTCTGTGAGAGAAATCCAATGATGATGATGGAAAGGTCTTCATCATCATTGTCTTCGTCATCCTCAGGTCGGGAGGAGTCAACCATCGAGCTCAAAGCGGCGATGAGGACTTGACTTTCTGAGGGATTGTGGGTCGACTGGGTGGATCAGGAGGTCGTCTGCACAGAAACAAACATTTATTTACGCTCGTTTTTTTTTCCGTTGTTCTATTTTAATTTGTACGTTTTTCTGTTAGCACAGTGTGGTACGGCAGCTGCACTGTGCTAACAGGAAGGCTCTGCAACAGCTGATAAAAACAGCACCGCACATCACCGGGGCGTCCCCCCCACCACTTCATTTACACCACAAGGGCCCAAAACATTACAAAAGACAATACCCACCCCCAACACAGCCTGTTCATACGCCTGCCTTCAGGAAGACGCTACAGGAGTGTCAAAGCAAGGACGACACGCTTGTTAAATAAAACTTTGAAGTCTGCCCCCACCCCTTACCCCTCACCCCTCTCCACTGACACAAACTTGATTCTGACCTTTAAACAAAAAAAATTAAACTAAAAACATATCTACCTCTACTCTGCATCTTTGTAAATTTTTTTGTATTTTGCACAAAAAAAAACTTTGTACATTGTATTTTGTAATTTGCACTATTTTCTATTTTTATATATTTAATTTCTTTTAATACTATTCCTTTTAAAAATGTGTATGCCGGGAGAGTAAAAACAAAATAAGAGTTTCATCACATGCTGTAAACTGTGTTTATCTGCTGTGTTTATGACAATAAACATCTTGAATCTTGAATCATCTGTCTCACGAATTAAAAAACATCTGATGCTTTCAGCTTCTTAAGTTTTCATGTTTTCTAATAAACTTGAATCAAAGAGGAAAAACTATGAGACGTTAAAATACAGAAAGATTCCGTTGTGTCGCAGTAAACTGATCTTTTCAAATTTCATATATTCAGACTAATGGTAAATATCAAAGAGTCGTACCTGTTGGAAACAGTTGCAGGTGTGACGGCGCTGTGTAGGCGGAGTTTGGTGTTTGAGGTAAAGGCAGCGGGTTGAGGGGGGAGAGGGGGAAGGTGGGGATGGGATGGTGGTGCCAGAGGGCGGGGCTTCTTTGGCACGATAGGTTTGAGTGAAAGAGGAACCTGAAGAGAGAAAATTTACATCGTCAGGGAAGAGAAAATGATTTAGATCTTTTTGTAACTGCATCGTTAAAATGTTGTTAAACATTATAAACAGCTGATGCATCGTGCATTCTCTGGCACGTTAAAAAACAAAAAAAACATGATCCAGCTCAGCCAATCACAGCAAGGGAAGGCAGGTAGACCCGGTGACTTCAGTTAAGGCTTCAGTTCATTTTGGGCCAGATGTATCCTCAAATAATGAAAATGTCCCCAACGTTTGAACGTCAGAATCAAAGTTCTTCTTGACTTTCACTTTCTGCAACTATGTCAAAATCTTTCAAATCAAGCGTCATGAACTTTTAATGTAAAACATGAAGGAAGTGTGTAGTGTGCAGACACTACGAAGAATTATTTTCTTTATCGATTGTTTTCATCATTGATAATTTCTCTGAGGTGATATCTTCAAACATCTTGTTTTGATAAAAGAAAGGTCTCCGACATTTCAGAAATGTTCCTGATGTTCCCGAACGCCTCACATGTCAAACCACATCTCACCACCAGGTCCCAATAATCACAGTCAGAGCTACACGTTAACATGATTTTTCTACACGCTACACATGGCAGCCACACGCTAAGAGTGAGCAGGTGGGGTGGGGGGGGGTCTACCTGTTCAGGTGTGACGGGGTCAGGGGGGAGTGGCTTGTTTGGCGGAGCTGGTTGTTCCACCAGCTGCTGCAGGTTAGTGAGAAGGAGGAGAGAGACGAGTAAAGCGACACAAAGACGAGTTAATTAATGTTCAAAAGTCAGAGGTGAAAATTCTGCAGCTGAGAATGAAACAAAATGTCTGAATCACGGGATTTAATGAAGCAGCAGAACAAAAGAGAGAAAAAACACAAACGCACAAAAATGAAAAACTTCCTTTGTCAAGTTTCACACAGTTTTATTAAGACAAAACTGTCTGCACATTATTTTTTACATTACACGCTTTACCTCACATGGTCACAGCTTTTTGCACGTCATTTCCTTAGGCGGCATTTCAAACCAAACCAGAGACACTGACAAGCAAACGGGACGAGCCCCAGATGTAACCACGTGTCGGTGAACGCCTCCACTTTCTAATATCAACGCTGTTTTTTTTCATAAACCTGTGTTGAACATTTAGTGAGTCCTCCGACCAAATTCTACTGTGGAAACTTCTAGTGATCACTTCTGTCCCTTGTCAGATTCATCAATATGAGCGGTTGATTATATAGAATTGTGAAGCTTATTTCTGATCCCAGAACCTGAGGGAAGTAACAGCGCACACACACAGACACACAGAGACTCTGCTGCTCTCTCTTTGTGTGTCCCTCTCTCTGTCACTGAGATGTCTGTGATCTCTGCATCCATAGACGGGGCTGTTAATGTTTATTTATCGCAAGTCATATCGTCATCGCAATATTAAACAACGTTTTTGCATATCGCATGTTTTCCTAATATCGTGCAGCCCTACTACACACTACACTTTACAGTACACAGTACACAATCCAGGCAGCGGTGACTGTACCTGGCCGTTGGGGGGGCGGGTTTCTGTCTAAGCAGTAGATGAAGATGAGTTGAAACAAGTCTCAGTCACTAAAGGAACATTTCTGCTTCCAACACTTAAGGCCTCATTTCAACTCCTGTCGACCAACAAGCTGTCATTCCTTCACCTCAGAAACCAGAGAATCGCACCACTCAGACACACAACAGCTTGTGTCCATCATGAACGGTTGAACACATGTTCATCATATCAAGTAAATGATCCTATGGTATTTGTTTACTATTAATGATTATTGATTGTGATGAATTGATTAATATCCACTGATCTTTCTTGTGTTTTTACTTGACTGAAACGTCTGAAAAAATATTTCCTTTCTGTAAAACACATTGTTCCCACTGTCCCTGATTCAGATGACGACAACAACACAAACTGCTCACACACTCTGACCCGTTAGCAGCAGCAACATGATAACACGCTGACGTTAACACACATGCAGGTGAGTTCAGGTTAGGTTACCTGCGGCAGGGAGTTTAGGGTGGGGTCAGGGGGGAGTGGCTTAGAGGGAGGAGCAGGTCTGTCATGAACCTGATTGGAGAGAAAACAGGAAGCATGGTGAAAGCTGAAACATGCAGAGCAGATGTCAAAGGTCAAATGAGCAGGAAACTTGATGACACCACAGGAGCAGTATGGAGGCACGTTTGGAGAATCAGTCTCCAGTTACTTCAGTTGTGTTGGATTCTGCTGCAACACTGTTTACCCCTCAAACTCCAGAAGTGTTTTGTGGACACAGCACAAACACACACACACACACACGCACACAGTAAAATGTGGACAGGGTTAGATTACCTCTTTCTGGGGCGGTGTCATTGGGATGTCGGCCTGTGGGTTCAGGTGGTATCTCAGTGGTCGGACCTGATCTCCCTCGTCCACTCGCTCCATCATCTGAGTTCTGGACAACAAGAACAGTCATTAAACTTTCTGGAAATCATTTATAGTGCCACCCAGAGGCCGCCGGCTGTAATGGCGTGGGGCCTGAAATGATCCTGCAGTTTTTATACTTTAATTTTAGGGGGGGGTGTTAGGGGTTCTACATAAATACAAACTAAACCATCCTGTTCAACAAAAACTTAAAGCTGCACCTGAAAACTATAAAAAGTTCTCTGCTGTTTCTAACCAGAAATAAACTGTATCATCACTTTGAACCAGGAGAAAAAAACTCAGTAAGACGTGGATCAGTGCAGCTTTAAGTCTGAAGTGGCTTTAACGACAGGGTTGACCACAGAACAGGACCCGACACGTTCCCAAGTACCTGGGGATGTGGATATGCTCAAACTCCAAGTCCCACATCTCACTGTGAGTAACACTGCATTGTGGGTAAGAAAACACCAGAATCAGACTGAAGACAAGTTTAGAGATGAGTTATCGACCAGGTTTAAACACAAAAGTCTTCTTTCTCAAGAATAAAGTTGTCATTTTGTAACTGGATGGATTTTATTAGACATATTTAAAATATAATGAATAATGACAGATTTGTATGAAGTAACATATAACCACATAATCTTTATGTAATAATCTTTTTAGTCTCTGGAGGAGGACATCAGAGATAATCTCTGATGTCCTCCTCCAGAGCCGCGTGGATCAAAGTGGACATTTAGGCTAAAAACCTGTGGCTTGTGGACACTTGGGGGCATTTTGTGTTTTTTTCTGTAGTTATTTACATTTGAAGAACTGATCACCAGTTACTTCAGTTGTGTTGGATTTGGCTGCACCACTGTTTACCCCTGAAATTCATCCCCCCCTCCATCGGCAGAGTGGTAAGTAGATGATGAGTGAATTTTCATTTCTCTGTGAACTATCCCATTAATAATGAACTGATATGTATTACCGGTTGTGTTGTCGAGCTTTGCGAAACGGGCTGTTTGGTCCAACACAGAGGAGACTCTGACGCACACGTGGGAAGCGAAGAGCGAGGAAGAGGAGGAGTACTGGCAGGATGAAGAGGAAGACGACGAGCATGGCGACTCTGACCGGGTCCGACTCTGAACACACAGATACACAAAGGGGCGGGGTTAACTGAGTCAGGGATGAGATGGTTGTCAGTTTTAAAGGTCCACATTTTAACCTGCTGCAGCTGAGGCCGGGCCGCTGTCCACGCTGCCGCCATGACCGGAGTGCCTGCAGTCAGGTGGAGCCCAGCCCACATCACAGTGACAGTTATTATTACTGTTACACACCTGAAACACATACATGCAGCAGGTTACACTCACCCACATTCTTTTTACAGGTGAGTGAAGTATCAAATCTGACGAGTCGTCCATCACTCACCCCATGACCGTTACATTTCCTGCGGCAGTCGTCAACACCGAAAACGGACACTTCCTGACACTTCTGGTTCAAACAGGCCTGAAAGAAAAAAAAACATTAAAAACATTTAAATGTCTGAAATGAAATGTTTTAATATTAAAATATAATTAAGACTGTGTGTATCTATGCCTACGCTTACTTTTCCTTTTTTTGGAATAATCATTCATTTCACATCATGTGATGTTAGAGAATGTGACAAAAATATTTGTTTTGTTGTACATTACCAATAAAATTGTTTTATCCTTTGTGAAACCTAAACCCTTCGGTTTTATTTCCTGCTGCCTTATCTCATCCAGGCCTGCTGGGGGCATTGGCTGACCTTTCCAGGTCCACAGGCGGTGCCCTGGGCCACAGTGGCGGGGTCGGACACGTCGTCTCCCAGGTGGAAGAAGGTTCCTCTGCAGACAAGGTCACTGAGGTTGAAGCTGACAGTGGTGGTGAGGATCTCTGCGTTGGTGCCCAGTAGGGGGCGCTCTCTCCCACCCTGACACTGGATCCGTCCGCAGTGAACATCACTGAAAATGAGGGGGTGTGTTACTGCAGGACTCTCTGAGTACTCTGAGAACTTTGTGTGTTTACAGTGTGTTCTGTGTGTGTACTGTGTGTGTACTGAGCGCACTCACGAGTTTCCACAGGGGACGTAGGATCTGTTGTTCAGCTGACCGCAGTTCCCATATTTATTTCCTTGTTTATTGACAGATGAGAAGCAGACGGCCGGAGCACTGGTGGCGTCTGAGGATGGACATGCAACAAAACCTGGTTTCACATCACTGTAGACTTACTGGACCAGTATAAACTGGTTTAATATCACTGTAAATACTATAAACCAATTTGGGATCAGTATAAACTAGTTCATGGTCAATATAAACTAGTTTAGACTGTGAACAGATTTTGGTACAGACTGGTTTTGAACAGTTTTGCCTTTGGTCACTATAAACTGGTTTGAGGTTCAGTAAACCGGTCTCTTACTGGGTCCCCACAGCGTCTGACACTGGGTTTTCATGCTGGCACATACTCCTCCGTAGCAGTAGGTGGTGCCATCCTCACAGGGCTCTCCGTTCTGCAGGAAGACATTGGGGGGACAGTGGGGGGAGGAGCCAGTGCAGAACTCGGGGAGGTCACATTCTCCAATCGGCTCGCGACACACAGAGCCTGCTGCCCGCAGCTGAGGAAGGAGGGGCTAAGAGTCACATACTGATGTCAATGACAAAGATGGCGTCTGTGAGCGAGTGTTTGAATCTTACTTTACAGTCTCGACAACAGATTCCATCAGAAGAACATTGAGCTCCAGGAACCAACTGACACGTGGAGGCGTTACAGCAGGGGTCATCACACTCCTGACCAATCAGAGCACAGCATCAACAGAGAGCACCACACCCACACAGCTGGTGACAGGTGAGTCAGGTAGACAGGTGAGTCAGGTGAGTCAGAGAGACAGGTGAGTCAG